CTCCGGGACCTTCACCGCTGGAGGTTTCTCGGCCTCCTTCGCTGGAGGCTTGAGGTCTTCTTTCGTCGGGGAAGCGACCTTCTCCGGGACCTTCACCGCTGGAGGTTTCTCGGCCTCCTTCGCTGGAGGCTTGAGGTCTTCTTTCGTCGGGGAAGCGACCTTCTCCGGGACCTTCACCGCTGGAGGTTTCTCGGCCTCCTTCGCTGGAGGTTTGAGGTCTTCTTTCGTCGGGGAAGTAACCTTCTCCGGGACCTTCACCGCTGGAGGTTTCTCGGCCTCCTTTGCTGGAGGCTTGAGGTCTTCTTTCGTCGGGGAAGTCACCTTCTCAGGGACCTTCACCGCTGGAGGTTTCTCTGCCTCCTTTGCTGGAGATTTTGGTTTTTCTGGTGCCTTGAGGTCCTCTTTGGTTGGGGAAGCCACCTTCTCCGGGACCTTCACCGCTGGAGGTTTCTCGGCCTCCTTTGCTGGAGATTTTGGTTTTTCTGGAGATTTGAGGTCTTCCTTGGTTGGGGAAGCCACCTTCTCCGGGACCTTCACCACAGGAGGTTTCTCGGCCTCCTTCGCTGGAGATTTGAGGTCTTCCTTGGTTGGGGAAGCCACCTTCTCCGGGGCCTTCACCGCTGGAGGTCTTTCTGCCTCCTTCATTGGAGATTTCAGCTTTTCTGGAGTCTGGCTTTCATCCTTGGCAGGAGAGGCAGGTTTTGCTGGAGATTTGCTCTCTTCTTTGATGGGGGAAGTTGCCTCCTCCACTGGCTTCACTCCCGGGATCTTCAAAAATTCTTTGGTTGGGGACACCACCTTGGCCGGAGGTTGACTTTCTTCCTTGGTTGGAGACCCGACTTTGGCTGGGGACTTGGCTTCATCCTTTGCGGGAGATTTAACCTCCTCAGGAGATTTGGCTTCCTCTTCCTTCAAGGTGGGCTCCTTTTCCGATGACGGGGTCTTCTCTGTAGGTGGAGATCCTTTCCCTGTTCCAGCTTCTTCTCTTTCTTCTCCTTCACCGTCTTCCTTTCCCTCCTGGCTTTCCTCTTCTCCTTCTTTTTCCTCTTCTGCTTCTTCTTCCTCCTCTTCCTCCTCCTCTTCTTTTTCCTCTTTTGCTTCCTCCTCCTCTTCCTCCTCTTCTGCTTCCTCTTCCTTCTCCACCACTTCTTCCACAATGACCGTCTCCTTTTCCGATCTCTCCACCACTTTAATTTTCTCCTCGCTCTTGACTTTGAGGTGAACGGGGATGCTCGGGCCCTTGGGGGCGATTTCGGGGAAGGAGAAAAACCCCATCCCGCCGCCGAAGTGGCATTCCTCTCCTTCCAGCAGCTTCCTGTTTCCAAAAAGAGAGAGAGAGTGGGGAATCAAAACTGTTGCTCAAGGCATTGAATCAAAATTGTGTGAAGTATTAATAAAGGTAAAGCTTCCCGTTGCACATGTGTGCTAGTCGTTCCCGACTCTAGGGGGCGGTGCTCATCTCTGTTTCAAAGCCGAAGAGCCAGCTCCGTCCAAGGACGTCTCCGTGGTCATGTGGCCGGCATGACTCAACGCCAAAGGCGCACGGAATGCTGTTACTTTCCCACCAAAGGTGGTNTATTATTATTATTATTATTATTATTATTATTATTATTATCATTCCTTTGCCCGTCTTTGGGGGAAATAAATGCACTTATATGAGAAGGGCAGTCCAAATATTGCCCCGGGGGTGGTGGTTTTTCCCTCCCTCCCTCCCTCCCCCTTAAATAAACCAAGTGCTTAAATGGAAATTCTGCATATATCACATTCGGCTACGGAAGCTGTCAGTCACATATTGGAACCAGCTTGCGGTGGGTTTGGTTAGTTGGTTTGGTTTCTTGTACTGAGTTATCTCAGATCGATTGTGGCTTGGCTGGGCCGTGTTTCTTCCTCTTCGGATCGCCGTGTTGCAAACATGCATTCCCAGACTCCTCGGTGGGGACGGGCGTGGGGGGGTAGTCCTCACCCCAAACCTAGCCTTGAGGAGAGAGCGTCCTGAGATCGGTGGTCTTCCAAAGTCCTCAGGTGCCCCCTGAAGCACCTCCCAACGTCTTCTGGTCATTTCTTGGCCTTCTCTTCAGCCGGTTTGCTGTCTTTGGGGTCCATCCCGGAGGACTTCTCGGCTTTCTCCGTCTTGGTTGGCTTTGGGGTGTCTTTGAGACCCGCGGGGGGCTCTTTGGGGCTCAAGGTCTTCTTGGCGTCTTCTTTGGGCTTCTCCTCTTCCTTCTCAGCTTTCTCCTTCTTGGGTTCTTCCTTCTTCTCTTCGGCCTTGACCTTCTCGGCTTCCTTCTTCGCCGTTGGGCTTGGGCTCTTGGCTTTGGCTTCCTCGGCGGGAGATTTGGGCCCGGGATCCTTGGTTCCTTTCTCCACCTCTTTCCCCGTTTCTGGTTTGGATGGTGGCTTGGTGGCCTCCTCCACCCCCTTGCTGTCTTCAGCCTTGGGAGCAGCAGGTGTCTTTTTCCCATCAAGGGTAGGTGACTTGGCCTTGGGGCTTTGCTTCTTGTCCCCTTGGTCTTCGGTCTTTTCCTTGGTTGGGGTCTCTGGCTTGGCCGTCTCCTCCTCTTTCTTGCTTGCTTTCTTCTCCGCCAACGGCTGGGCGGGTACTTCCACTTCTTTCTCGGGCGCCTTTGTTGCCGGCTTAGCTGGTCCCTTTTGGGGTGCCGTGTCCTTTTCTGGAGATTTCGGCTTCTCCTTGATGGGCGTCTTGGCCTTCTCCGGAGATTTCACCTTCTCCTTGACGGGCGTCTTGGCCTTGTCCGGAGATTTAGCTTCCTCTTTTGGNGTTCAGCGGTTCTAATCTCACCAGCTCAAGGTTGACTCAGCCTTCCATCCTTCCGAGGTGGGTGAAATGAGGACCCAGACTTTGGGGGCGATATGCTGACTATGAAGCGGTATATAAGTCTAATTGCTATTGCTGTATTCGCATTAGGAGATACGTTAGGAGGAAAAAATGAACAAGCTTCCTATGCTCAAGAAAAGATGGGATGTTCGTATTTTTTTAAAAAAATTATATATATATATGCACGGTTTTTTAGGCCATGGAGAGTGAGGTCAACGTCTGTTACAAAGAACTGTGCGGGCCAAAACCGGGCTACCAACTCCTCACCAACCAGTTGCAACGCCTTTGCGTCGTCCTGGATTTGTACCTGGAGACTGAGACACACGACAATAGTGTGGAAGGTCCCAAGGAATTTCCACAGGAGAAAATGTGCCTCCGTTTGGCCAGGTGAGCAAATGGGGGGCGGGGGGGCAGGGAGATCTGGCAGAAGGGCAATGGGGCAACTCGCCCTGGCTAATTCACCGCCAGATGATTCGACATGGGATAACTCAAGTGGAATGGCAGCTCAAAGAATTCTAACTTGTTAAAAAAAAAGGAATAAAAGGAATCCCTGCGGATTTGACTCCCACTAGTCCCAGTCCTTCCCACCCAGAACGGGCAGAAAACGGAGCGCCCAGAGGCCGAAAACGGGGCATGCGGAGGCGGCAATAGGCCACGGCAATCCCTGCAGCCTGAAACAGCTGATCGTCGGGAAGCTGGTCCAACCGACAATCAGCTGTGTTTGTGCTAATCAGGCTGTGCTGAAATTGAAACGGAAACGGGCTGTTTGGTGCAAGGAGGCAACTTGCTGGGAGACAGAGGCAGATTTTTTCCCCCTTGTTTTCCACTCCAAAAGCTAGGTGCGTCTTATACTTCGAAAAATACGGTACTTTCAAAGATGACATTAGTCATTTTACAAATGTAACTTCTTATATATCTGTGGGACGGTCGGTGCACGAGGGCTGTCCGGAGTGTTTATTCTTAGTGTCCCGTGACTTTTGAAATCTCCCTTCTTCCTTAGGGGACCCAGCCGGTTAAAACCCTTCAAATACAACTACTCCCAAGGCTTCTTCAGCCATCGCTGAGCCCAGCCGCAGCCGCTGGGAATCCTACTTAGGCCACACTTCCCAAGCGAAGGGAATTGTTTTGGGTCTGGAGCTGATGCGTTTCTGATGGATTTCGGAACTTTTGTCCTGCTGAAGCAGCGCCAGAGAAGACAGCCAAGCGGTTATCATTCCTCCATCTCTTGTGGAAATCGTTCCGAAGGAATTAAAATTGAGTAAAGGGCACCTCTGAATTCCTTACCTATGAAATACTAGCCGATAACCCGGCGTTGCCCAGGTATTTAATTATTTTGGGGGGGGGGGATATCCAGGCCAAACGTAATTTCTAATGTTGGATTTGCCACCTTACCGGAGGGGTTTGGGGGTGTCTTACCCCCCCACACACAGTATTTGTTTCCAGGGAGTAAGTCATCTGTGTACGTTTGATTGAAATTGCTCCAGGTGTTCCAGAGTAATGCTGGAACACACACACACTCACACACACAAATGTGTTTAGATGGATGGATGGATGGATAGTAGAGAGAGAGGTAGGTAGGTAGATAGATGGATAGATAGAGAGACAGACAGACAGACAGACAAATAGATAGATAATAGGTAAATAGAGATAGATGGATAGATAGATGATAGATAGATAGATAGATAGATAGATAGATAGATAGATAGATAGATAGATAGATANATTGGAACATTGCTATCATGTCTCCCCTGGTCCTTCTTTCTATTAAACTAGACATACCCAGTTCCTGCAACCGTTCTTCAACATCCTTATACATCCTTACGCGCTCCTAATTTGTGGTTCTTCAAGTCTCAGTAGTTTTCCATTGTAAATATATTCCATGTTCCCTCTCTATTTTTCCGTATCTTGGATTAGATTACCCTTAAATTGTCTATAAGTGACAAACTTCACTGTTCAATGTTCATTACAATTCCCTTAATCTATTATATAAAATGACAAGAAGTAAACATCTCACTTTGAGCATCGTTTTAAAAGTTCTATATATATATCCATGTTTCATATATTTTAATCCATGTTTGGTTATCCTTTTGTTATCATTTTCAGTCAATTGGCAACTCAATTATGTATAAAAGTGAAACACAAACCTCTGCTTTACAGCCTCCCCATATCAGTTTCATATTTATCTATATTCCATATATTTTTGTCTTTTTTCGTTATCTTTCCATTATTGCGTTCAACCATTTAGCAACTCCATTTTATTGTCATATTTAGGAATAAAACCCTTATTTTGCTTTATATTTTCCCATATCTAGGTGTCTGATTTTTCCCTAGTAAGTCTTTTGTCCCACTTATCTGTTCCTGTCTTTTCCCTTTTCTTTATTTTTATTTTAACACCTCCATTCCCATCAGTTTTCTCCCAGCCACCCTTACAAGTGTATTTTAAATTTCTTTTTGTTGGGGCATTGTCTTCTAGTTCAATTTTCCTTATACTACTAACAACCTTCAAAACCACTTTTGTCTGCTTTTTATTCCCTTTTGTTGGGACACCTCCTCTTTTTACTGTTTTCCCTATACCGCTGCAAAGGCTGATGGAGCTTTTTGTCTGCTTTTTACTTCCCTCTGTTTCTCCCCCTTCATTGCCTTGCCCCCCTTCTTCTTTGAATTCTTCTTTAGATCTCTGCTTCCCTGGGTTCAGGATTCTATTTAGGCTTGATTTTAATGATTTATGCAGATTTTTTAAAATTTCACATAGTTCTTCTAATTCCCAGTTTTCCATGATGTCCAGTTCCAAAGTTATAGTTAATTATACAATTTTTGTTTCAGAGTTCTAATCCACCTTAAGTTTATTTACTTCAACTGCTATGGAGAGACGCAATGGGAGCCATCTTATTCCTTAATATCCAGTTCCAAGATTGCAGTTAATTATACAAGTCTTATTTCAAAATTTAGTTAATCCAAGTAATTTGAAACAGGAAGAGAAGCTGATGCCATCTTAATCTTTTGCAGAAGAGAGAGAAAAAAGAAAAGAAAAAAGAAACCTTCCTATTTCCCTGTTATTGAGTGCGATGTTTTATTCTTTCCTTTAATAACTGCTCAAAATAAATCACTTGTAGCAAGCTTGTAATCAGCCAAGAGTTTCTCTTGCCTCCTTCTAATTTATGGCAGTTGGTTAATGAAAACTTCCCACACGGTCAAGGTTAAGATTCCGTTATCAGTAAGAAGACTGTTTTTTTCTTGTTTATATTAGCTGGGAGGAATTCAAACAAAATAAATGTAAAACCCTTCTGTATCCAAAACCAAATTTAAAGTTTTTAATTATGTGGATTTGCCACCTCTCTGCTTTCTATCCTGTCTGAAAGCACTACAAACAAACAGTTTCTGTGGGGGCTGGTGTTACAATCCTCCACCTTCCTTTTTCCTTTTCTTTTGAAGAAATAAAGTCCCAATCTGACCATCAATATTATTTATGTTCTCAAAATTTCTTTGCCTTTTCCAGGTTTAATTTATAAATGTGGGTTAAATAAATTTCCTTGCCCAGCCTTTCATCTCTTCCATTCCCCTCCTGCCGCCCTGACTCCCACGAGGAATCTGTTGCTTCCCCCAGGGTCTGATGAGATGCTGCCCTTCTTTGCCCCCACCTCCAGTGTGGGTTCTGATTCAAAAGAATTTCTGAGATGGTTTATCAGACAGGGTTCATGTGAGACTCTTAAAAGCCCACACCCCACACATCTGTCCAGCTGGAGAACTTCCTGTTGAGTCCCCTTGCCAAAGTTGTTAAGTGAATCATTGCAGTTGATAAGTTAGTAACCCGGTTGTTAAGTGAACCTGGCTTCCCCACTGAGTTTGCTTGTCGTAGGTTGCAAAAGCTGATTGCATGACCTTGAGACACAGCAATGGTCATAAGTATGAACCAGCTGCCAAGCCTCTAAATTCTGGTGACATGATCATCGGGATGCTACAAAGGTGAGTGTGAAAAATGGTCATGTCACTTTTTTCAGTGCCATTGTAAATTTGAATAGTCACTAAATGAACTGTTATAAGAAGTCAAGTATTACCTGTTTATTTCTACAGAAATACAGCAGAACAATGACAAATACCATTTTGAATGCATTTGGGTCAATATAAAAAGAAAAAAGAATGAGTGTCAAAATGACACTACAGGCCACTCACCCAACCAGAGGAAATAAACGTTTTGCTAGTCAACTAAGGCATGTAGGAAGAATACCACAATAGTAATAGGGGACTTTAACTACCCTAACTGGGAGACAAACTCTGCACCTAGTGGAAGATCAAACAGATTGTCAACTCTGAAGCGAACCTGGCTGAAGCCATCTTGCGCTGCCTCATAGTTGCCTTGAAACCTGAGAGGGGGAAGGGAGAGGGGAAGTAGGTAGCCAGGCTCCAGTCAAAACAAAATGCTTTCCTGTGGGAACCATGGTCATTGAAACAGGTGGCTGTTGAAAGTGGAGAAGAGCCTGCCTTCCATCTTTATTGAACAATGTGACTGGTGACAGCTGGGAGGAGGGAGTTTGATTATTTAATTAGGTGGAAACTGCAGAGCTGTTAGAATTGGTGTTCACCAGCTGTGCCGATATGATGTATCCAATAAACATATCCTTTGAGGATATACCTGCCTCGGAGTTATGTTTTTAATGGGTGCATTACTCGGAATGCTGACACAGATTCCTTACAAACATAGCAGACAACTTTTTCTCCCAAAAGATATTCATAGAGATAACTGAACATGTATTTCTCCAGTGCTCATATTAGATATATTTGTAGTAGCCTCAAATCATCATTACTGCATAAATATCCAGGACAGTTTGTTTTTACGTTTTTAAGCTTTTCTAATACATAATTTTATTTTTTGTATTTTTATGCTTTTTAATTCCTTATGTCACACCCTCTTTCTGCTGGTCTTTGACTATGATAAAGGTTTGATTTGATGGTTTACGGCTTAATACCATGGGTGAACCTTATTTGACTGCATTGCTTCCTGTTTATCAACCCTATACGTTCTTACACTCCAAATATTACTTCCATTAAATGAATATAGTATCTGTCTTTTTGACCTAGTTATTTCACATCAACTCTTAAAACACATTCATCATACCCAATTTCAGTCGTGGAAGGAATATGAAGTCTGACCCCTCTGAAGAAAAAATGCTCACCCAATTCCTCGTGCAATACATATGAATCAAATGTACTTGGTATGAGTAATAGGTGGGTGAGTCACATCGACACAAGGTTACTGTTAGCGAATTTATTCACAGTAATTAACTCACAGACAAGACTTTGGCAGCAACCCAGACTCCCACAGATAAGAAATATACACAAGAGCTTCTCCAGATTTAGTATAACGGTTGTGTCCTGCAAAAGGTCTCCTCCCAAAGACTCTTCTTATATACTCTCTTGGGAGGAACATAATCACAACCACCTGGGCCTGATTATCTTCTATGTCTCTTTAATTGCTGCCGACGCTTATCTGCCCGTCTTTGCCTGGCGTCCGGGACCAACTCCCTTTGTTCCTCCTCACTGCTCCAGGGCCTGATGTCTTCACTACTGCTCCAGGGCCTGACGTCAGGGACAAAATCCCTTTGGCTTTCACCGCTGCTCCATGCTTCAGGCTTCTGGTGGCCAACCAGCCTCTCTGGTCCCTGCTCTGAACCCTGCCCAAGGTCCTCCATATGCGACTCATAGGGTCCCTCGCTATCGGAGTCTGTTGGCAGCTCCAATGGCTCCTGCTGGGCCACAACAGGTGGGGGTATATTAATCCCTGTGAGATTAATTATCCAAGTAGGGAACACTCAGTCAATCTAAAGGAAATTTTACCTGACTGTCCTTTGGAGCTGAAGCTCAAATACTTTGGCCGGACCCTGATTTCCCAACATCAGGTATTCCAACAAGGGAATACCTGATATTGGGAAATATGGAAGGCAAAAGGTGATGGCAGAGGATGAGGTGGTTTAGATCAGGGGTAGTCAACCTTTTTATACCTACCACCCACTTTTTTANTAAAACTTCCTGCACAGTCAAGGTTAAGATTCTGTTATCAGTAAGAAGACATGCTTTTTTCTTGTTTATATTAGCTGGGAGGAATTAAAACAAAGTAAAAGTAAAACCATTCGGGATCCAAAACCAAATTTACAGTTTATAATTGCGTGGGTTTGCCACTTCTCTGCTTTCTATCCTTCTGTCATTACAAACAAAGAGCTTCTGGGGGAGCTGGTGTTACAACCCTACACTTTCCTTTTTCCTTTTCTTTTGG